GTCTGGTACCACACTGACTCTCCCACACTGAGAGAAGCGGTATAGTGCGAGAACTGCAGGAATAATTGGAAGAGGAGGAGGAAGAGGGAGAGGAGGAGCTTGATTTACAGGAGGGGCAAGATAAAGGAAGAGGAGAAGAAGAAGGAAAAGTAGGAGGAGAAGCTTGATTTTAATGAGCAAAATCTGGAAGAGAATTAGCATGATCTGGAGGAGAATGAAGATGAGAACGTGGAAGCAGTGGTACGTGAAGGATGTTTTCACGTGTCAACGCCCCTGTGGTCCGGACCCAGACCTGGACTCCTGCAGGATCAAAGCCTGATCAACCAGGCTGTTACTGCTGGTCTCACGCACAGCAGTTTATCAACCACAACCAGGCAAATCAGGAAATGACTTGACAAAATTATCAAGTTTTCCCCCTGAATCCAGTAAGGGGTTGGTGATCCCCCTTATGTGTGAAGGGAGGGTTTTGAAAAGTCTTGGGCCCCGTACACTTATTGTGTTAACTCTCAGTGCACTAATGAAACACTTGATTTTTATTTGGTATATTTTAAACCATATGTCAAGTTTCTTGCTGACTTAGGGATTAATTTATGTATTCAGATGTCAGAATTTTGTAGATGTAAATTATGATGAATAGTTATCTTCTGCTTCTCAAGGAGTACAGGTCTTGGGACTTCTAATCTGCTAAGTAATTTAAGTGTTTGACTGAACTTGAGTGTTCATTGAAGGTTCTTTGTTCATTCTCTAATTCTGAAATTTTGCCAGTCTTAAAGACTGTTACTGCAGGACAATATTCCACCAAGAGAGAATAACTTACCTAAACATGATCACTTGCTTGGCATGTGTTATGAGAGTTTCGTTATTCATCTTATTATTTTCCTCACAGTTGTGCTGATGATACTGTTGTGATCCTTGTTATCAAGAATCTGACATTATCATTCATTATCATTCCTATATCTTTCATGTTAGTTTTTTTTTCACTCTTCTGGATGAGTAAATTTTTTTTTTTCACTCTAGCTTTTATTTCCTCAATTTATCTATAATGGAGTAATGGAAATTTGTTCTTCTTAAGCAATATGTTGTTTTCTGTTGTTTCTAGAAGACATTGTTTATAGTCACTTGGAGATCTGCACTCTCCTCCACTGATGCAACTCTCCTGCAGATTTAAGTATTGTCGAAAATAATGATCAGGGAAAGAAGTATTTTGGATTTATTTTATTATCATTAATTGCAACAAGTTCCCTCTGTCTCTACTGGACTCTGATTCCTTCAATTCAAGTTCAGTATCTAATATTTCTTTAGCCTGAGATTCCTTCCACACTCCAGATACTCTACAACCCTTGAGAATTTCTTTCATCCAACGTCGCTGTCCAGTAAAAGAGCTTCTCTCTCTTCTAGTTACATCTTTTCTTTTTTTTTTTCATTGTGATATGTTCGCAGAGTTTGCTTCTTGTGTCACAGAATGTATTCTCTCAAGACTCTGGTTCGTAGGTTGCTTCTTGTGCCACAGAATGTATTCTCTCAAGACTCTGGTTCGTAGGTTGCTTCTTGTGCCACAGAATGTATTCTCTCAAGACTCCGGTTCGTAGGTTGCTTCTTGTGTCACAGAATGTATTCTCTCAAGACTCTGGTTCGTAGGTTGCTTCTTGTGCCACAGAATGTATTCTCTCAAGACTCTGGTTCGTAGGTTGCTTCTTGTGTCACAGAATGTATTCTCTCAAGACTCTGGTTCGTAGGTTGCTTCTTGTGTCACAGAATGTATTCTCTCAAGACTCTGGTTCGTAGGTTGCTTCTTGTGTCACAGAATGTATTCTCTCAAGACAATGGTTCGTAGGTTGCTTCTTGTGTCACAGAATGTATTCTCTCAAGACTCTGGTTCGTAGGTTGCTTCTTGTGTCGCAGAATGCATTTTCTCAAGACTCTGGTTCGTAGGTTGCTTGTGTCACAGAATGTATTCTCTCAAAAGACTGGTTCGTAGGTTGCTTCTTGTGTCACAGAATGTATTCTCTCAAGTCTCTGGTTCGTAGGTTGCTTCTTGTGTCACAGAATGTATTCTCTCAAGACTCTGGTTCGTAGGTTGCTTGTGTCACAGAATGTATTCTCTCAACACTCTGGTTCGTAGGTTGCTTCTTGTGTCACAGAATGTATCCTCTCAAGACACTGGTTCGTAGGTTGCTTCTTGTGTCACAGAATGTATTCTCTCAAGACTCTGGTTCGTAGGTTGCTTCTTGTGTCACAGAATGTATTCTCTCAAGACACTGGTTCGTAGGTTGCTTCTTGTGTCACAGAATGTATTCTCTCAAGACACTGATTCGGAGGTTGCTTCTTGTGCTAAATGAAACAAGCAGTGAAGATTTTCTAAACAATACAGATCCGAACCCTTGCCTAGAAAAAATAAACTCTGCAGTTCTTGAGCTCTGCTCAAGGCACATTCCATTAAGAAAAAGAAAGAAGATGTAAACTAGAAAAAGAGAGATGCTCCCTATACAGATGAAGGCGAAGAGTCACAGAGCTGCTGAGTGGGGCCAATATATCTGAAATACGAAGGGAGGCACTGGTCAATGGAATTGCAAATATCGAACTTAAGCTGAAGGAAACTTACAGGAGACAAGAATCGCAAAATATTTCTTCTCTTATGCCAAATCTAAGGGAAAAACAACATCCAGTATTTTGACCCCTGCTTGAGCGGGATGGGACATACACAGATGACAGCCAATAAGCGAGTGAGATACTAAAGTTCCAATACGACTCTGTGTTCAGTGAGCCACTGCCCAGACTAAGGGTCGACAATGCAAATGAATTCTTTATGAACGAAACCTAAAATTTGGTCATCTAAAAAATCTCGGATATTATTCTAACTCCACAAGACTTTGAAAAGGCAGTAAATGACATGACCATGCACTCTACCCCAGGCCCAGACCATGGAACTCTGTATTCATCACGAACTGCAAGAAGCCCCTGTCACGTGCCTTCAGCATTCTATGGAGAGGGAGCATGGACACACGGGTCATCCCATACACACTAAAAATAACAGACATAGCCCCACTCCACAAAAGTGGCAGTAAAGCAATTGCAAAGAACTACAGACCGATAATACTAACTTCCCATATCATAAAAATCCTTGAAAGGGTTCTAAGAAGCAAGATCGCCAACCACCTAGATACCCATCAGTTACACAATCCAGGGCAACACAACCCAGCTACGATGGCAAAGTTCTGGATGTTGTAGAGGATAAGCAAAATACAGATATAGTATACACAGACTTTGTAAAAGCTTTCGACAAGTGTGACCATGGTGTAATAGCACACACAATGCGGGATAAAGGAATAGCAGGAAAAGTTGGTAGATGGACCTATATCTTCCTGACAAATAAAACACAAAGAGTAATAGTAAACAGTAAAGTCCGAGGCAGCTACTGTGAAGAGCTCTGTTCCACAAGGCACAGTACTCGTTCCCATTCTATTCCTCATTCTCATATCTGACAGACAGAGATGTAAGCCATACCTCCGTGTCTTCCTTTGCGGATGACACTCGGAGTTCATTACCTTTGTAAATTGTGAGTTCATTACCTCTGTAACTTGTTCAGTTATCAAAACTTTGAGGCCCAGTCCCTGGACCCATTATGTACCTCTGTAATCTTTTGACTACCGCCCACTGGATGGGTATGGGGTGCATAATAAACATATTAAACTAACTAATTGCCATGACAGTGACTTCCATCGAAGACACTGCGAGACTCCAAGCGGACATCAACCAAATCTTCAAATGGGCCACTCAAAACATTATGAAGTTCAATGAAGAGAAATTTCAACTACTCAGATATGGAAAACTTGAGGAAATTAAAACTGTATCAGCGTATATGACAAATTCTAATCATAAAATAGAGCGAAAAAGTAATGTGATGGACCTGGGAGTGATAATGTCAGAGAATCTCGCGATCAAAGACCACAACAATGTATCTAACTCATCTACCACGAAAATGATAGGATGGATAATGAGAACCTTCGAAACTAGGGATGTCAAGCCCATGATGATTCTCTTCAAATTGCTTGTTCTCTCTAGGCTGGAATACTGATGTACACTAACTGCCCCCTTCAAGGCGGGCGAAATTGCTGACCTTAAGAGTGTTCCAATAACTTTCACGACACACATAAGTACGATAAGGCACCTAAATGACTGGCAACGGTTGAAGTCCGTTGATTTGTATTCCCTAGAACGCAGGCGAGAGAGATACATGATACTATACACTTGGAAAATTCTAGAGGGATTAGTACCAAACTTGCACACGAAAATCACTCCCTATGAAAGCAAAAGACTCGGCAGGAGATGCAGCATTCCCACAATGAAAAGCAGCGGCGCCACGAGTACACAGAGACAACACAAAGAGTGTCCGGGGCCCAAGACTGTTTAACTGCCTCGCAGCATACATAAGGGGGATTACCAATAGACCCCTGGCTGTCTTCAAGAAGGCACTGGATAGTCAGTACCTGACCAACCGGGCTGTGGTTCGTACGTCAGTTTGCTTGCGGCCAGCGGTAACAGCCTGGCTGATCAGACCCTGATTCACCACGAGACCTGGTCTCAGACCAAACCGTGGGGGCCCTTGACCCCCGAAACCCTCTCCAGGTATACCAGGAGGTGAGACTCGGTCAGAGTACTTCTCTGGGGAGGTGCCTTGATCCCTGTGAGGATCGCTTGATACTGGGAGACATACTCTCCTCTCCTACCTTGGATCGAGGAACTATATGATCCCTACGGTGCTAGCGCTCCCACCCTGATTTTTAAAAATATCAGAATATAAATCCTTGTAAGTTAATTAAGAGGAATCTACCAGAGTTTATGATCTCATAAGTTACTCAAATAGGTGTTTCAGAGATGGAAGATTTAATGAATGTCAGTGTGTCAGTTTATTAACGTCATCCATGTGCACTTAATACGTTTTAATCCTGAAAAATCTAACTGCAACAACTGGGTATCGTTACTTTGTAGATATTTCTCCA